GGAGCTGCGTGAATGATGGAGCTACATGATTGATTGAGCTGCGTGATTGATGGATCGGCCGTCGGCAGGTCGTACCTGGTCGTGGGGTCGTCTCATCCTTTTGTTTCGGGATGTTACCGTATACATACGTCTGAGTCATACGGGTTATACGGGGCTTGGATATGGGCAGCAGCGGGCCGGAGAAAAAAATAGATGGCGGGGGTCAAGAATACCCCTAGGAAATTGAGTTAGGGGGGGTGCACCGGAGCAAGGCTCTTAGTAAACATGGACGTGAGATAAATATAAGATGATAGCTGAGGCACAGTTCAGTAGTTTGTTCTACAACTTTTCTCTCTTTTTCTTTTGTAGCTGAACGAATTTTTTGGCAACAGAAAAAAAAACGCAAATAGTTCTTTTCCCAAAAAAGATATGCAAACAGTTGAGCACCTCAAAAGTAGCACTAGCAATTTACATCCTTGATTTTTTTCCTCCGTGTTTTAATCATTTTTTGTGGTGGACCATTGTGTACAAATAATCCATTTCAAGAGTCAAAACTATATAGCCGACAAAATGACTACATGGTAGATTATTCAAGGTCTCGTGTATTTCATATAAAATTTATTCATAATTTTTTAAACCCAACAGAACTATTGACCGTGTACGTGCTTTGCACTCTCAGGAGCGTAGCCGGCCGGTGGATATGGCCAGGACGGAGCCGGGCGAGCGGGGAGCAAAACCAGATGTGCTCCAGTTAAAGATCGCTACATTGCATGTAATAATATGGATTTGATGTTTTAATTTGATATATCAGGATGTGGAATGCGTTTTTTGAGGTGTGATCGGTCACTGTCTGCGGACGCGCCCGCGTGTCCGCGGGCGTTTGAGTGATCAGATTTGTCAAGTCGGGTTATAGATGCTTTTAGCAATCACGCATGCACAAGTTCTTTCACACCGTCTCTTTGTCACCTACTCCCTCCGTTCCTAAATAATTGTCTTTCTAGCCATCTCAAATGGACTACAACATACGGATGTATGTAGACATGTTTTAGAGTGTAGATTCACTCATTTTGTTCCGTATGTAGTCACTTGTTGAAATCTCTAGAAAGACAATTATTTAGAAACGGAGGGAGTAGTAAAAAACATCACTCTCACTTCTCACTTCTCACACATAGGTTCTCTTTCTTTTTTGTCTCTCACAACTTCTCATGTCACACGCAGTCTCCTCTTACTCAAAAGACAAAGCTGTGCTACTCCAGTAAAAAAAGATGTTTACTGCCCCACTGTTCCCCTCACGGGTTGGCTACAACATGCGTTACACAAGTGTCAGAGAAAAGGAATCGGTCCCACACAGCTGCATGGATTACTGTTCATATACTCTGCAAAGTGCATGGCAGTGGTTCGAATCCCTGCTGACACTGCAAAAGGCCCGCTGCTCGCTAGGCCACAACACAAATCTTAAAATCGCTGAACGGATAAGATCAGGGGTTGCCCGGACTCCCGGATGTTATCCCACCTTTTCGTTTTTTAATAACAACAGAGCTTATGTTTTTTACGCCGATAACTGTAACACATGTGGCATAATGGACAACCTATCACACGACATGGCCGGTCATATCTAGGATACCGCCTACACGAACCAACCCCTGGTTGGATGATAAGAGGGACATTGGTATCCCTATCCCACCAGGGTTCAATTCCTGGTGCTCGCGTTATTCTTAAATTCATTTCAGGATTTTCGGTGACGCGCTTCCAGTGGGAGGAGACGTTCACGTCGATGACGAGGCGCCTAGGTGACTTCGTAAATCTCGAGATGATATGTCGGCTCAGTCTCTCGAAAATGCTGATAGGGGTAGGCTATGCGTGTGTGCATTCATAGAGGTGAGTGTATGCGCGTATGTATGAGCGCTTGCGTTTGTACTGTGTGTTCAGGAGACAGTCCACACGACCCTGTGTGAGCGAACTTTAAAACTGGCCACAACGTTCGGGCGCAGCTACGATGGCCCACACAACTCTGTGTGGCAATTGCTCACCCCGACCCCGTGAGCGTGAACGGGTGTGTAATCAACTTTAGTTCCCATGTAACTATAGTTCCCATGTGACACTAGTTGCCATGTCTGCCATGTATCATTAAATATAGTTGCCATTTGTAACTAATTGGAGTTGCCACGTGTGATCAAGCAATAGTTGCCATATATGATCAACCATAGTTGCTGCGTGTGATTAACTAGTTGCCACATATGCATAATGTGTAACTAATGGGAGTTGTCACGTGTGATTAAACCATAGTTGCCATGTATGGCCAACCATAGTTGCCGTATGTGATTAACTAGTTGCCGCATATGCACACCTGTAGTTGCCATCTATCATCATGTGAGCGTTGTGTGGGTGAAGAGCAGTTTCGCCCACATGTTCAGGCGAGCATCGTGTGTCCGTTCAGGCGAGGAGCGCCCACACGTGTGGCACTAAATGATAATGCCCACACGATGCTGAGTGGTTACGTGGCTCTCGACCCAGATGACAACTGCTTCAATATTTATGCAAATGATCGAATGGTATCGACTATGTTTGGGCCATGTTGAATTGTTCTACACATATGGGCGTTATCATTTAAGATATTTTTTGGGCACGAAGGGCATAGGATTGGACTTCCCTGCTCTTCCAGGAAAAATGTACTGTGGTGTACTGATAAAGCACTAGGCTTTTTCCCTCAACAAGAAAGAGAAAAATACAGTTTTCCAACGAATACACCCTACTTCAAAATAGGATATTAGCTATCTCCAACGCGGACCCCAAAACGGACAATGTATTTGCCTTCCGATTGTTTTGGGGTAGTCCGTAGACAGTAATGTAAGAGCCAGCCATCCAACTCTGTCTTCTAAATTTTTGCCTCTTTTTTTCTTAAGCCTGTGAGCTCAAAATGATAGAATATCGAATCATCAATGATTGAAAATATTCAAATGCGACAGTAGTTCTGATTTAAATATAACAATCCAACTAAGTTTTAAAATAAAATACTTCAGGGTCCGTGCCATATGCAGTCGTGCAGTTCTGATAGGCAGAGAATCCAATCCTTCCTGGGCAGAGAATCCAATCCTTCCTGCGGTAGACTTCTACAAGATGAGATAGTCATAGTAGGGTCGGACGTTGTTGTAGAGGTGGTCGAAGACATTTTGTCACATACAAACATGCCATAAAAAATTGTCTTTGAATGCATCGAGGGTAAAGTAGTCATCCATCAACGTCAAATGCCGCCGTGCTCTCGTCCGGTTCAGCACTCAATGACCCTTGATGGATCCTTCGAATCGGAGAACTGCAAGGAGACACCTGCATCATCGCCGTTTCATGTGCATAATTCTCCTCGTCCGATGACTCAATGTAGTACTCGTATGTGTACTTCATCTACCTGCCCATTGATTCAAAGAAGGGACAAAAAAATGGCATGAGCATTTCACCAAACAGTACAAACCGAATGCATGTTAAGTCTGTTTCCTTTTTTTAGGAGCGACATAGGGAGATTAACATGCAGCTATACGCGGATAAAATATAGCGAAGAAAATGCTGTGCATAGAGTAATTAAATTGCCCGTCATTGTACATACCAGGGACGGATTGGCTGTTGTATTCAAGGTTTTGGCTACCGAGGGGCACTTTTTTCTCGTGGGTCACCGAGAAACTCGGTTACCACGGTTACCGCAAAATTCCAAGCAAATTTCGGACGAATTTTTTTGAATTCGAGCAAAATTCGTCAAAAATCCATTCAAAATTCATTCAAATTCAAAATTTCGGAATTTTTCGCTTGGGAAGTTGATTTCTCGTGGGGTACTGGGAAACACGGTAACCGCCCGGTAACCGGTTTTCTCGGGCGGTACCCAAAACCATGGTTGTATTTCGCTGAGCTGGAGGCACCCATTTATGTACACTTTCTTTATTTTATCAACCGCTGCTGCACCACCTATGGACTTGAGGCCTAGACACTCGTAAATATGAAGTTCCTCCAGTACTGGAGACCTTCCTAACTGGTTGTTAGCAAGGTTGATGGATTCTATGCCGCCACAAAGCACCAACTTGAGCTTCTTAAGAGAGGATGGTAATATCACTGCCCTTTGCGCATTCAACTTATCACAACATGAAATTTCCAGAGTCTGCAACCCTTCTAGCCCATCAACAGAGATGGACATCAACTCACTACAACTGGAAACTAGAATGGTATTAACAGCAGGTAGACAATCTGGCTTCAGGAATTCATCGAAGCTCAATAATTTGCTGCACTGCTTTATCATTAACTTAGCAAGGGATAAGAATCCTGTAACAGCACTGCTGCTGCTACTACCACTAGCTTCAGAGACTATTGATGTAAGGTTGTCACAACCTTCAATATATAGTTCCTCCAGGGCTGGAAGATTTCTTCTCCACACATGCAGGGGAATAGATGTCAATGATTCACAGTCTTTTATTTCCAAATAAGTGAGGGAAGTGAGGTCAAGGAAGCAGCTCACGAAGCGATCCATGGAATAGCCCGATTTCACAAGGGTTAGCTTTCTAAGAGAAGTAGGCAAGAGCATCGAGCCTTCCCAACTGATTTGCTCATAATAGTATATGACTAACTCTTCAAGACGATTAATGTTGTCTGAAGGTGTACTGTCAAGTGACACATCTAACGGGACAAAGAATGGTATGCTCTTCACTTCACACCAATGAAATTCAAGGGAACGTAGCATTGGCAGGAGGTTGGGCTGGAGCCAGCTAGGACAAGATTCACCTCTGTAATTCTTTACATGCAGATGCTGGAGATTCCAGTGAGGTAATCTTTCCATCTGATTTTCCACCATCTTTACCGTCTTACGATGCAAAAAGGGCCATTTTAGGCAGAGTTTGCCAGAGTGGTCCTTGTTATAAGCAAAATTATTTGAATTGATTTTCTCTAAACTGAGGGCATCGCTGAAGCCTGGAGGAAAACTTTCAATCAAACAACTGCCACGGTCTATAACTTTGAGATGATGCAGCTGACAAAATGTTGAAGGAAATGTGCTGAAATTAGAACTTCCAAGTAAACAAAGGTGACGCATATGCTTTGAATTGCCCATGTTCTCAGGTAGCTGTCTTACTTTGGAGAGTTTACAACTAAATACGCAGATTTTCAATAGTTCCTTGAACCAACAGTCCATCATAGACTCAAAATCTTTTGCTTTGCTGTATGATTCATCGCACACCAGGGACCGCAGATTTTTCTTGTTACATATGCTCTTCAATTCAGAACACTGAACATCTCCGTTCGTGAATATTGACAGATGACGGACGTTTGAAGGAACTTTATCTAGGTCACTAGCATGCTTTATAATGAAGCACTCATTCTTTGAGACTAGTTGTGCCGTATCATGCATCAGATCATGAATTACATACTTAACACTATGTGGTGATGCTTTCTGAAAGAAAGAACGATTTGCAAGGGCATCAAAGCACATTGATGCTTCTTGGGCTGACTCCACATATCCTAGTGCAATCCAAATGTCAGCTAGAAAATCCTTCGCAAATTTGTAATCCTTGGGAAACATTGCACAGATTGAGAAGCATCTTTTCAATTTCTGCGGCAGGTACATATAACTCAGTCGAAGGGCTGGCAAAATGTCGGTCTCTGTTTGTTCTAATCGCCACAGTTCACTTTCCATTATATTTCCCCAATGTGTTGTACTTAGATCCATTCTCAGCAAGCGTCCAATAGTCTTGGCAGCCAATGGGGAACCCTTCAACTTTGGAACAATTATTTCACCAATGCGCTCCAATGACTCCCTGTTGTTGCCCAAAGTCTTGGATCCAAATGCACAGAATTTGAAGAACTCCAAGAATACACTGTCTTTTAAGCCCTTTAACTCATAATTATTCATAGGGCCAACTAGCTTAGCAACCTCGGGAGATCTAGTGGTGACCAAAATCCTACTTCCTTCGACGCCATTTTTCAAAGGCGCACAAAACCTCTTCCATTCCACCCCATCATCCTTCAAGATATCACCCCACATGTCATCAAGGACAAGTAAGAACTTTTTGGACTTGACACAGCCTTCTAATTTACCCATAAGAACTTCCAGACTATTAGATGAAGCATCTCCTCCCAGGCGCTCTACAATGTCTTTCGTTAACCGTTTTATGTCAAAGTCATCTGAAACACATGTCCAAATTATATTTTTGGCACCAAAGTGATTCTTCACATTTGTATCCTTGCAGATGTGTTGGGCCATAGTTGTCTTTCCAACCCCTCCCATGCCTACAATGGAAAACACATGCAACTCGGTCATTCTTGCTTTGCTTTCAGTCCTTCCTCTCTTCCGTGAATGAACTCCTAGTTTTCCCACCAACTCCTTCATTTCTTTTTCACGGCCAATCATTTTTTCCTCACAGTTAAAGTAGGAAGTTGTTTCTGGCCTAACAGATTTATCAAACTTTAGTGGTGCTTGGTGCAAACCCATTTCCATGGACTGCTTATGGACATGATCTAGATTTTTTTGAATTCTGTTGACTTTCCTGATGTAATCATTAGATCTGACACTTTCGTAGAATTCCAGACAGGTATCACGCAATCGGTCTAGCCCCAAATTCTTGCTGCACTCAACTTTCCACTTGAGCGCATCATAATCAAGCTCGTCAAGCAGGTCCTCCGCTTCGAAGACTGCATCCTTGATATGCGGGAGGAGATCAGCCGCTTGTTTCTTATGGCTTTGGTATTCGACCCGATCAATGAGGTCAAGCATCTTGGGCATTGTTGTCTCCAACTTCCAAAGATCATCCGTATCCCCAAGCTTGCACCAAAGAGGGTTAGGGTTACACAGAGTCGGTTACAATGGTAGGAGATCTACATATCCGTATCGCCAAGCTTGCCTTCGACGCCAAGGAAAGTCCCATCCGGACGTGGGACGAAGTCTTCAATCTTGTATCTTCATAGTCCAGGAGTCCGGCCAAAGGTGATAGTTCGGCTATCCGGACACCCCCTAATCCAGGACTCCCACATGCACAATTTAACATGTCACATATGCAAAAATAATAATAAATATTTTAAAAAATGCCCTCCTACCAACAGGTTATATATGAAACCCCACGACCTGCATGACTAGTAACCCATTGGGCCAGGATGCAGGCCCGCGGTGAATGTATATAAGTTGATGGTAGGCCCAACGGGGCAGAGAGAGACTGGTTAGGCAATGAGTTGCCTGCTTTAGATAGGAACTTGAGATGGATAGCTCATCCGGGTTTATAAACCAGTGCGAGCTCCTCTCCGTTGGCGAGGTGGGACTAAACTCCCACCACCCCGAGACAGTGCCCGACACGGCTTTGATTTGGGCCTAATTTTGGTGGACTGTACCAGGCCGGCCTCAGACGCGGTTATCAGCTGGAGAGCGGAAAAATTCCCCATTTCATCTCACAGATATGACAAACCCTAGGTCTTGCTTCCGTTCCCCATTCACTATGTGTGCTCACATCTCACATCTGGCGTCGCCGGCGATGGGGGGCAAGAAGGGAAGGAGGTCGCAGTCGGCAAGTGATTGCCGCCGCGCTCAAGAAAAGTGGGAGGAGGCAGTTGGGAAGTTCTGTCAGGGCGATGTGGAGAAGAGGGCGAATGTGGAGGAGATCTGCAGCTGGTTTCCCAGCTTGCAGATGTTCATCGACCACGGTAGGGGTCTCATCAAAGTTCTTACGGGCAATGAGAAGAAATCGTTGTTTGGTCCTGCTCGAGGAGTTGTTCCAGTTCAGGTTTTCCTCTGGGCTATGAACGAAGAGGAGAACTCCCCGGATCCGCATCAGCGTGCGAGGTGGTACATGTACCCCTCCCGCCGCCGCGCCCCTCCTATTGCAGTGCCAGATCTTGTCGGAGTGGTGCTCGCGGTGCCTGCTCCGGTTGATCAGTCCAATGTTCACTCTGACAGTGTTGTGGAGCAGAGCAAGGATGAGAGTGATAGTGATGATGTGGAGCAGAGCGAGGATGAAAGTGATAGCAAAGATGTGGAGCAGAGCAAGGATGAGAGTGGGGAAGAGGAGGTTGTTGTGCTGCTGGACGACAGTGATGGAGAGGAGGAGTAGGATGATGTTGTCCAGGAGCAGCCGACGGACGTGCAGATTGTGGGGCCAGGGATCCCGCAGCTCGGAGACAGGGCCATGCCGATTGAAGCGGAGTCCTACATCCGCAAGGGCATTCGTCACTCAGAGCGCATCAACTAGTTGAAGGACAAGAAAACAGAGTGATGGCATGTCAGTGTCTTTAGTTAGTCTATCTGTGTGAGTCGGTTTGGCCCCTTTTGATAGCATCCTCTGTAATAAGTTCTTTGAGAATACTTCAGTATTTGAGATTACCTTCGTTTTATTTACAATGAGATGTTTGGTTGCCCCTAACAAATGTGATTTTAATACTGTAGTTATTTCTCTGCATGAAAAATGTAGCCTCTTTAAAAAAACAGAGTTTGTGAGTGCTTAAATGATATGGCTAGGCAGCACAATTTACAGCATACCAAATAGTTCTATGTATTGTGAATACTCCAAAATACTCTGTTTTAGTCAAACCATGTTATCTCATATCTATAGGCAAAAATATTGTAGTTTTTAATATGTTGGTTCATATAGTACCATGCTATCAAACCCAGAGAACTGCACTAAGTGTTAAGTTATGTACTGATGAAGTTTATGTAGTGCAAATGTGATGTGTTCAACCTGTTAAGTTATGTATTGGAGTTGTTAATGTAATGCATATGTTATCCTGTTATTTTCAAAAATAATCCCATTTCTACTTTCTCTATAATCAAACTAATGAACCATTGGATTGTTAATTGGTCTATTTTGCAGACAAATGAGCCACAAAAAAGGTGCTGGATGTGGGAGCAAGACTGCTAGAGCGAGTAGCAAGTGAAGTGTACACAGCGAAGCAGGGGTGGAGAATCAACGTGACATGACTGGAAGGATAAACAAAGAAGACTCTACTTCCTGCTGAAGATGTGGCCTTTACTTTGTTACGATGTTTTAGTAGTTGCTGTTGTTATTTTGCTGTCCTCGTGAACTTTGTAAGCCAAGGATGATGGGTTAGGCAGACTGCAGGCCATGCTGGCTTTTGGTTATATACGATTATGCTGGCTTGAAGTGAAAATAGAGCATTATTATTGAGATATGGATCAGCCAGTTCTTCAACTTAAGGTTGTGTTAATTTGGTTATACATTCAAATACATAGCTTAACCCTGCAAGGTTATCATAATCTCATATTTGTGTTTGGAAACAGTCCTAGTTAGCCTAAATTACAGGTTGGCCCATTAATTAGTCGGGCTAGCAGTACTGAAAAACAAAGTTAGGAGGCTCAGGGTTAGGGAAACATTATAGCCAACAACACAATATTGAAAACCACCATAAAATTTGACTTATTCTCTCTCAACTAAAGACTAGCACTTGATAAATAGGGATCAACGAAGTAGAAAGATAGAAAAATGAAGGTGCATGTGCTCATAAACTTCGGCTGTGAATAATAGGAAATTTGACACGACTGACCACGCATCATATTGAGGCTAAATTTGTCATGCTTAACAGGCCTCCATGTTTCCTACTAGGTAAAATTGAGAAAAAATTGATACAAAATAAATGGCAATAAATTATCCTATTTCCTTTAAATATACATCAAGATTATTTAATATAATTATATGACATCGAGCTATCGAGCTTAAATCGAGCCAGCTAGTGTTGGCTCAAGATTAACTCGTTTCTCTATCGAGCCAAATATAGTTTTGATACTCAGCTCATTTCTTTTCGAGTCGATCTTGAGTCGAGTCAAAATACGAGTTGATCTTGAGCGGCTCACGAGCCTCGAGCTTTTCTTGCAGCCCTACTAAGGGTGTGTACAGCTCTAGCTTGTTCTTGCCAAAAGATGAGCCAAATGGACTGGCGGCAATGGAAATAATGGTGACAAATGCAAAAAATGAAATATGACAAAAAAGCCCACCTACTAGCTGCGTAGTTCACAATTCAATGGCCTGCATACGACTAGAAACCCAATCATTTATTGGACCAGGATGTAGGCCCGCCAGATTGTGATAATAGGCAGCTAGTAGGCCCCATAGGGCAGGGAGATATAGGGTTAGGCAATGTGCTGCCCGCTTTAGAAAGGAACTTGAGAGGGAAGTTCAGCCCGGTATATAAACCGCTGCGAGCTCCCCTCGCTTGGCGAGGTGGGACTAAACTCCCAGGACCCTTAAGATGTGCCCGGCGCGATGCTCGCTTGGGCCTAATTTGGGTGGGCCGTCCCACGCCAGCCTCACCCGCGAGCAGATTATTACCATATTTAAAACCGAGCTGCTTCAATGTGTTATATTTCACTTATTCAATGTGTACGAAAAATTCACTAACGTACCAAAAATTAATGTGTTATATTTCACTTATGAAATCCAATATTTATTGTCTTTTTATATTTACAATAATTTAAAATCTAATCTATCTTTACTCTTTCAGTTTTTCTGACACTTTTAAATTTCAAAAAATGCAATATAATATGTTTCATCCTTATTATAATATATCTTTTCTGTTTTCTATTTCAAAAAAGGGATATCAAATATATTTTTTACTCTGTTATTTCTTCTTATAGTTTTAAAATTCAAGTTTATGTTTTGTCTTTTATTTCTTATTATAGTTATAAATATCAAAATTCCATGAATGTATGTTTTCTTCTGTTTCACTTCTTAAATATAATTTTTCTTATATTTTCAAAATTCCACTTGGTTGAGTCTAGAAAACCAACGTCCTTCGGGCTCCCCCTCCGGCAGACCCGAATGATGGTGATTGCACATGTGCTATGTGCTTGCCTGCATGAAATGAGACCGAAGTTTGGCACCATGTGAGGATGCCCAACCTAGGCCCCCATGCAACATGTGAGCCATTCCGGACACCGAACGAACGTTGTGTCACGTCCGGGCAGTGTTTCGGGTTTTTTTCGCCGGCAAAATCCTAGCAAATGCATCGAGTGTCGGAAATAGATGAGAATTGGCATGCATGATGTCCATGGTAATCCCATATTGTGAAAAAAATTTGGGCCCATTTGGTTGAGTTTAGAAAAACAATCTCCTTCGGGCTCCCCCTCCGGCAGAC